CCACCCACCCTAGAATGAGGTTCAAGTGATACCAAGTCACTTGTCCAGTGTTACATGTAGCCAATCAGAGCAGAACCTAAATTTGTATCCTGATGAGTCCAACTTCAAGTGCTCTCTATTTATACCACCCTGTCCAGCATTTGGCCTGAGGCTAGTGTATTTACATACCATTGGTGTTGGGTTCCCACCTGCTTTTAAAGGCTCCATCTGTGGGCAGGGCTTTGGAGGACTAAGTTCACCCCCAACACGCCTATACACACATGCACTCACAGGGTTTGCCCGTTCATTTCTACAACTTCCCCTTGATCTGTTCTTCCCTGGACTGAGGAAGGCTGCCCACTTAGCCCCCTCCCTTTCTTCTTTTTTCCCCTGAAGAGAGACAGCCTGGGATCCAGGAAAAATATGAAACAAACCCAAACTGTTTGCTGGTTATTTTAAAAACTGCGTATTATTCAAATACCTTTGAGGCCATTTGTCCGCCTCCATTTCCTCTATATAATTAATCACTGTGCCAGAAATCTGATGTAGCATTTTTCAATGTGACTTCGTATGCCTTTTCTCATCTGACCCTCCTAATAGCCTCCAATAAGTGGAATTGTTGAAAGTTTATGATTTTGCTGTCTTGCATCATTTCTGGTATCAGGCACCCTATGTATTTGGGGACCCCCCCTCCCTACTTTCAGTCCAAAGTAGTTCAGTTGGGTCTAACACTCCCCTTCCATCAGAGAAGCCCATTTCTCTGACTCCTATGATTGGCTCAGGATTGGGCACATGACCCAAGCTGGACTAATGAAACTCAAGCCCTGGAACTACTGGAGGTAGTTTGTTGAACTAGTATACTGCCTGTAAGGCTGGAACTTCTAGAGATCATCTTTGCACTGCAGGGAGAAAGCCTGGCAGAGAACGATGATACAGAAGAAAGCAGAGTGGAATGAAGATTCATTCCCTTTGAATCCTTGGATTCAGCCATGCCTGAAGCCACCATGACATAATCCCACACTTCTCAACTTCATGAGCTGATAAATTTTCCTTTTGTTTTAAGCTGCTTTATGTTGAGCATTTGTCATTTGCGTCTAAAAGGGTTCTGATTCATTTATGGTTGTGGCCATTGTGGCCAGTGGTTGTCCTCTCCATTGGAAGGCGAAGAAACTGAAGTCAGGGAAATGACTTGCCCAAGGTCACTTGGATGCAGAATGACAGAGCTGGGACTGGAACCAAGGTCTCTAAGGCCAGTAATAGCTGCTGTCCCCCAAGCAAAATTCATGTGGTCTGACTGGTACTGGCCATTGCCAGCCCTAGGGGACTCATGTGCTCATCATTTGGGACAGATGGCCCAGTGGAAGGATCACACAAGGCCCTGGGAAAATGCTCCAGAGAACCGTCACCAAGTGCTCCTCGAAGCTGGGCACACCCAGAGTGAACTGCATAGTCCAGGGCCTAGTCTTGGAGCTCGTCAGCCCAAGTTAGCAGTGACCCAAGCACATCACAGAACACACAGAACTGCCCTTCCGGAACGTGAAGACCACGGCCCATTCCTCCGACCCCAGCTCAGGAGCAGCGGTGATCAAGGACAGTCAAGGTCCCCAGCCTGGGGTAAGGAGTGCCTAAGAGGGGAGGCTGAACTGTGGCCAGGGGTGGGAAAACTGTGCCCCGGGCTGGCCCCAAGGATGTATAGAGCTGAACCAGTGGCTTCCAGGGCCACTTTCAAGAGTTTTGCCATAGCCAAATGTCACCTTTACTTTGTACTTTCCTATTTCAATAAATATCTCTAATTACTTTCATGAACTGAAAACCAGTCTCACTTGTCAAAAATAAATATTGACCCCAAAGAAAAATACAATGAAAACAAAACTATGTTGTTAAAGTTTAACTAGAGATAGTTGCCAACTAAGGTGTGGACCTGGAGCCTGGCTCTTTCTTTTTAGAGAGGCATTAAAGACAGGCTAGCGCCATGCCCTTCACGTACTATGACTTCATAGGACTTCAAGGGCACATGCTGTGATCACATATAATCACCCCCCTGCGGCCAATGGTACACCTGTGCATCTCAAGCTTCAGCCAACACTGAGACAAGTAAATTGCAAACCCTGAACAAACACGCATGGGAAGTGAAGTAATATATTTAGGGCATCGTTCCTGACCAAAACCCCTGAAAGTCAAGAAACCCAAATTAGAGGGCCCAGAACCAAGACGAGAAAATAGCAAGAAGTTTCTCTGCTATTTTCACTCACGCAGCAGTCAAGACAAGTGATTGAGTGATCAAGCCTTGGTTAAATCATTCATTCATTCAACATTTATTGAGCGCCTACTATGTGCCAGGCACCGTGCTAGGCGCAGAAATACAGAGATGCATAAGATACAGTCCATGCCCTTAAGGATTCACAGTCTAGAAGGGGAGACAAACATGTAAACAAGTAAAATACAGTGTATTAAGTGCCACATGAGAAGCATTTACAAAGTGCAGAGGTAGCACTTTGAGGGGAGGGGCAGGGGGGTTGCCTTCCTGGAGGAGGGGCCCTTTGAGGGCATCATGAGAAATGAACAGGTGTTTGCCAGGCAGACAAGGCAGGAGCAGGGGAAGACATTCCAGTCTAAAGAAACAGCATGAGTGAAGGCACAGAGGCATGAAACTGCAAGGCTTGTGGGGTGGGAGACTCTACTAGTCTGGTGGTATTGCTAGAGTGTACCAGAGGCCGTGGCTGGAGAGGGTGGCAGAGGCCAGATGACGAGGGAAACTGAAGGCAGGGGGCATCTTGGAGGGAACCAGAGGCAAGCAGAGCCCGAGGAAATGCTGGTTCCACATGGGAAGAGAAGGCTCCTGGCTGAGCCATGGTGCGCCTGCTTGAGGACCGTAGGGTTCCTCACTGTGGCCCCCAAGGGACCTGGACCCAAGACTAGAGGAGAAGCAGAGCTGGAGGCAGGGTAAGCAGACGGGAAGGCCCCAGGCCTGGAGCCCCAGAGCAGCCACGTGTGAGCGTCTGCTGGCAGACCGCTGATCCCCGCACTCTGCTGCACAGAGCCCCTCCTCCCAGCCAGGATGGGGCTGAGGACCAAATGGGAAATCACATGGGAATGTTCTCGGCAAACTGCAAAAGGCCACATGAGTATCAGGGTTACAACGTATTATAAATCTTGCTAACTCAAAGAAGAAAGAGGCTTAGGATAAAGCAGAAGAGAGCAAGCTATAGAGAAGAATGCAGGCAGAAGGGCTGAGAACAAGGGCCAAAGTGAGAAAACTGCAGCGGCCAGGGCAGACTGTGGCAGACCATGGCTCTCTCTCCCCTGGGAGGGGGTGGCCCTGTGGGCCAAGGACAGGCGCAGAGGCCTATGGGCAGGACCAGGCCAGATGTACAGGGAAAGCGTGTGACCTGCAAGACTGTTGGGCTCCACATCCCAGCTCTGGTATCTCCTCAGCCTAGAGTGGAGATTTCCTTGGCAAGCAGGACCTTCCCTCTTCCAGGCTGGAGGGGGGCACTGAAGCAGAGATTGGCCAGACAGCCAGACTTCCAGCCCTTTCAGTGTTCTTAGGAATGGCTCAGTCTGAAAAATGCCTTCGCAGGGGTGGGGTGGGGCGGGGGCAGGGAGGCGTGGGGAGGAGGGCAGAGTCTCAGGAAACTAGTCTGGTCGTACCTCGGAGAGCCCACTTTTCCAAGGCACCACACCTTTGGCTCTCCGAGGGGCCGAGTTTCTTCCCCAATCCTGGATGGGGGAGGAGGAGAGTAGACTCAACCTGGGCATGGCTCCTGCTGCGCTGAGGGTTCCGGGCTACAGCGGGATGAGGCGTCCCCGAAGGAGGAGCTAATAGCAGCTCCATGTCCTGCCGGACCCTCCAGTCAGTAGGCTCTGGAGATGTCCCCAGGCCCTTTTTCCTCACGTCCTTGATGGCTCAGCCTCACCGTGTGGGGTCTCCGAGTCTCAGACCAGCCCTTTCCTCTCTGTCTCCAGGTCTCATCGCCTTGTCCTTCCCCTCCCCCGACCAGTGTGGAGGAATGATGCCCACTGCGGGCGCCGATGGAGGTGGTGGAGCTAGCAATGAGAAGGACAGTGAGGTGCAGGCGATGGGTGGCCTCCCCACGGCGGGGGTGGGCTGGGCGGGGGCATCACTTGCTCTTGTGCATGTCCTTCAGCCGGCGGAGCTCTTCCAGGAGCTGGGCCCGGGAGCAGCCATCGTCCCCAGTGGGGTCTGGGCCTGGGCCCAGAGCCTCCTGCAGTGCCAGGCAGTGGGTCCTCAGGAACGGGTTGTAGGAGCGCTCCTCTCCCAGGGTGGACGGGCACTGCAGAGCGAGAGGCACCAGGTTTGGTGGAGAGAAGATGGCAAATGAACCCAAGACATGGAAGTCTACTCCCAGCCCCCACCCCGTCCTGGGGTTCAAGAGTTGACTTGAAGGCCCGTGTCCCAGTCAGAGCTCTGGGGAGGGGGTCAGTTCCTGCTGGGGCTGAGTGTGCATGCCGCCCTCCTGGGCCCCGGGTCCCGCACCGTGCTTTTGCGCTCCATCCGCTGCCTCTGCACCCACTGCATCTTCCTCTCCCGGGCCAGGTTCTCGGGCTCCACCACGCCTGCAAAGCCCAGGTTCTCCTCCGCGTACTCGTGACCTGACAGTGGCCGTGGGGGCCGAGACCCAGAGTAGAGACAGATTGGTGGTGTGGTCAGGAGTCCTCCCCAACCCTGGCCCAGGCCCACGAGTACTGGACAACCAGGGAGGAGGGCAGCGCTTCCAGGAAAACCCCAACCACCCCTACCTGCTTCTCTAACTGCGGGCACAAGTCAGCCACAAGGGAAGAGGCAGCAGTGGTTCAGGGGAAAAGCTACCGGACTCGGAGCTGGGAAGCCTGCATTCCATCCCTGGCTCTGCCCCTGCCCAGTGCCCAGTGTGTGACCTCAGTCAGGTCACCACGCCTCTCTGAGCCACAATTTTCTCATTTGGCAAACAGGGAAAACAATAATGCCAATGGACACAGATGTCACTGCTGTGTTCCCGATTCCTAGAAGAGACCCTGGCATACGTTAGATGCACATAATGTATTTGTTGAGTGAATGAATGAATGAATTTTATGAGGATTAACTGAGATACTTGTGAATGTTTTTATAAACTACAAGGCAATGGTTACATGCAGAGTGGATTTACTGACTTTCCCCCAGATAAGCAAAAGCTGTTTTCTGTTCCAGGCTCTGGCTATGAACAATTAGCCATCTCTCTGGGACGCTCTGGGGCGTGCAGGGCTCCCAAGAGGCCAAAGGCTAGCTGGCAGGCGTCAGTGGTCCGAGAAGCAGAGGCGTTAAAGAGCCAGCACTCCAGAGAGAAGGGAGGCTGGAACTCTTCCCCCCCATCCCTAGAGGTGGCTCCCAGGAGCAGCCAGAGGTAGACCTGTGTCACCTCTGGGCCAGGAACTGGGTCGGCCTGGGCTGTAGGGGAGTGAGGTTGGGAGAGGCCCCCGGCCAAGCATGGGGCTGGGAGGTGGAGAGAAGTGGGGAAGGGGTGCCTCACCAGGCCACAGCAGGGTGTCATCCCCCAGCCCCAGCACAGTGTCCAGCGAGCTTAGCATTGTCTCTGCGGTGCCCTCAAAGGTCCGTCCTGGGTGGGTCAAGGGAGTATGTCACAAGGTGCAAGGATAACGCGCTACGGTATAAGGCACATGGAGAGGGGTGGGGAACAGCTTGTGCACGCCCCTCAACCATGGCCCTGCCAGGCCCACCCCTCCTTCCCAATGGGAGCTGGGCCTAACTGGTCACCCCGACCAAGCCCATCTGAAGCCTCCATTGCACACAGTGACATCTGAGTGGAGAGGGCTGCAGAACCTTCAGGCCGAGCTCTCACGGCCCCACGCCCTGTAGACGCAGGGCTGCCCTTTTCCACAGGGCGCTTCTCTGGGACTCCATGCAGCCTGGGACATGATCCTCAGCCACCCGCGGGATGGTCCTCTCACATAGGGGTTCTCAACTTTTCCTAACCATGTCCTGCCAGTCACTGTGTCAGAGAACCAGGCTCCGCCCAGTGGAAACAAATGCCCTGCGAGGACTTTACTCAGCCACAGGCATCATCTCCTGCCCATCACCACTGCGAAATCTTAAGCATACAGAACAAGATCCGGGTAACGCAGATGGAGTAACTGCCAAGGCAGCGTCTGTGCTGGAACCAGTGCTCCAGGGCGTTCCATGGGACTGTGGCTGCCCGGGCTTCTGTCCATCCCTCCCCTCCACTCCCGACTCTTCCCTCTTTTGTGGGAACTCACCACAGCCAGAGAGGAAGAGCAGGTCCCCTGAGAAGAGGCAAGAGGGACCCTTGTAAGGCTCCCCATCCAGTAGGTAGACCAGATGGCCTTGTGTGTGGCCAGGGGTGGCCAGAGCCCGGATCTGAAGCCGTCCCACGCTGACCACATCTTGATGACACAGGGGACTGGGGACAAGGCAGTAGGGGAGAGAAGGTACTAGAGCCTGCTCCATGCTGCCCACACCCCAGGCCCATGGGGCTGGTGATTTGCTGCCACACCAGAGAGAAGGCACCCTGGTGCCAGGGTCTCAGATCCAGGCCCATCAGGTCCTCTTTTGGAGAGGATGGCTGGATCAGTCAGGGGGCCCAGTGTCAGTCTTCAGATGGAGATGGGCTGGGATCTGCTCTCTAAGGGCCAGGCAGGGCATCAGCAAAGATACACCTGCCGACACCCCTGCAAGGCTGGGGGTGAGGGCAAGGGCCACAGGCCCCCCGTGCCGGGGTCAGGGACTTACTGGGTGAGGTAGGGGATGCCGTCCTGAGGGCTCCCATACACCCGACAGTCCCGGTGCCGCCGGCTGAGGTCGCGGTTCCCTCCGCTGTGGTCCCTGCAGGGCAGCAGACAGGTAGGAGGCTTCGAGGGGCAACTGTGCCTGAGCCTCCCTCTTCCCCACAGCATCTCCAGGCCTTTAAGCCCTGGGCTGTGGCTTCTAGACTGAGCCAAGCTCTCTACCCCTCTCGGCCTTTGTTCAAGCCCAGAATGTCACCACCCTCAATAACCTCAACCTGGCCAATGCCAACTGATCTTTCTGGACTCTCTCAGCTCAGGCTCATCATCCTCTAATTCACCCAAGTGGATCTGATCACACTCGCCTGGTGCCCCCACCCTCGGTACCCTGTGCCAACTGCCACCTAAATATTTGTAATTTTTATATACTCCTATACAGGGCAGTCTCCCCTACTGGACCTATAATTTCCTCTATAGAAAAGATCCTAATAAGTTTTGCCCTTGCCCAGTGCATAGTAAGTGTCTAATACCTGCCCATGAAATGAAAGAAAGTGACTGCCTGCCCTTCTCTGGGGCTTCTGACTCCTGAGAAGCGGAGTGGTGAGAGGCGGGTGGTGGGAGACCACCCCCTCCTCTCTGACTCTGCTGGTGCCCAGGTGATGTCATGAGGAAGGTGGGTGCCCGCCCATCTAGTCTTCCAGACTCCCAGCCCGACAAGCCCAGCTGGGGCATGGATGGGCCAGCGAAGGTGTCTGCATCCAGTCCCCCCGCCCCAAGCCCCTTACCAGTGCTTGTGGGTGCAGAGAATGGCAACCAAGGTGACGCCCTCCTTTTCAATGGAAGCCTGGGGGAGAGAGGAAGTCTGAGCCTGGGGGAGCAAGATGCAGGGGGCGGTGTGGAGCAGAAAGAGCCTGGGGTATGGGTGCTGGCGGAGAGGGGAGGAGAACCGGGAGAGAAGAAGTAGGGGTGGGGATGGACCTAGAGAGGAGAGAGCTGGGAAAGGACTGGGGGCAGCAGCTGAGACCCAGCATGGGGCATGTGGAAGTGGGGGAAGTGGGAGAGGGAAGTGGGAGACCCGCAGAGGGCATGGACGCAGAGTGATAAGGAATGGCAGGGAAAGATGAGAGAGCCAGATACCAGCGGGTCAGGAAGAGGCCTAAAGGCATGAGAGCCAGCCAGAGACCCTAGACCCACAGTCCTGGGCCAGCACCCCAGCCCTCTGGCTCTCCCGCCTCCCCCCTTGGCCCAGCCATGCCCTGGATGCTGCCCTCCCCTGGGCTGTGTATAAGCTGGTGTGAACATGGAGGGGGCATATTCCACAGGCAGAGGGACCAGGGCCAGCCCCTCTCTAGCAAGGGGAAGATGCCAGTCCCCAGCGGTGACCCCAGGCACCCCCCCGCCCACGTCCCCATGCCCCCCTCACCTGCACAGCCCGAGGGTCTGAAGGGTCCACAGCCACAGCCAGCCGGGCCTGGGTGTCAATGATGAGGTAGCTGTAGTTGTCCGAGAGGACGGGGATGGGAAGCACCTTCACTCCTGGGGGGCAGAGACGGCTGTGGGTGGGTGACGGGCAGGGGGCACATGAAGGAAGCAAGTGGGAGCGGGGGGCACAGTGTGGGGCATGCCGGCCAGGGCAGCCCAAGCTCACCATTGAAGAGGCGGGGCTGGGCTTTGGAGTGGCCTTTGGGGTAGCGATTCCGAGCCCTGCGCAGCTGCTGCCGGTAGAAGAGGTACCCAAGCCAGGTGCGGGTGTACAGGCTGTACCTACAGGGGATGGTCCACGGTCAGCCCCCCAGCTCTTCTGGAGCCCTCCGTGGTGCCTGCAGGCCCACATCTCTACTCCCGTGGCCACCCCCGAGTCAATACAATTGCACCCTTGCTTAGTGCGTGCCTACCATTTGCCCTGCTCAGGACTCAGGACAAGACGGAGAACAAGACAGACATGCTCAGAACCTGCAGACTGCCAGGGGAGACGTGAACTGCGGAATTCACAGAAGAGACTCGGAGAGGGAGGGGTTTAATCTAGCCCGAGGCTGAGCCCCCTGATGAAGTCACATTTACAGAGAAGGGGGAGTAGGAGATAGGAGGCTGAAATGAGGTAAGGAAAATATTAATATTTCAAGAAAAGTCAAACTTTAGCAGGCATCCCAGTCGTCTGCGGGGCCTGTTAAGGACCACATTCCTGGGCCCCCTCCCAGGTCTGGGGTGGGGCTTGGGAATTTGCATTTCCAACAACTACCAGGTGACGCTGCTGCTGGTCCAGGGACTACACCTTTGAGAACCACTGGGATAGAGGAAACCATAGGCAGAGGCAGCAGAACAGCAGGACTTGTTTGAGGAAACTAGAAAGTTCTGTTTAGCTGCTTAGTAGAGGAAGCAGTGAGAGGTGAGACTAGACCATCTGCCCTGCCCTGGCCATCATTCCAGGCCATACCAGGCTACATGGTGAAAGGGGGCATAGAGAACAGAGGGGACCTGTGAGTGACAGAGTCCTCCAAATACAGAATGCCAGTATGCAGAGCCGGCTGCACGGGTGTGCGACCGGGGAAGTCACACAGGGCCCCTCGCTCAGAAGGGCCCCACAATTGGTTTAACGCTCTGCTGTCACCACCTTGCAATTCTTCATGCTTTATCTTGACCTTGTGTCTTGTAAGTGGAGTCTGATAAGACAGTGGGACATGCATGCGAGCAGGAGATACACAAAATATGCGTGTGCTCCGTCCCTTGCCTCCCATCCACGTACAGCATCTGCAACGCCCCATGAGCACAGAGCTCTGGGAACCCACCAGGTGTGAAAGTTCAACAGGACTCAAAGTGAGTGCAAGGTAAGTGCACATCTCTGACCCGAGAGGCTAAGCTTTCAGCTCAATCTAGAATTTGCCTCGAGAGGACACATCCTGGCAAATCCATTCTACAGGCGTGGGGAACTTGAGGAGGCTGTGAATCGTTCCTGAAGGTCTCTCATAAAGAAGACAGCGGCGTTCTAAGAAACACAATGAGCCAGGAATACTGCAGCATCATTTTTGACTCTTGTCACCACTCCCTCAGCCACACGTTATCCACCCATTTATGCTGCATTTATCCTACAGGTGCACATCACCACACTCAGCTAATTTTTAAAAATTTTTTGTAGAGATGGGGTCTCACTATATTGCCCAGGCTGGTCTTGAACTCCTGGCCTCAAGGGATCCTCCTGCCTTAACCTCCCAAAGTGCGGGATTACAGGCATGAGCCACTGTGCCCAGCCCATAGACCCTTTCTTAGGAAAAAAAAAAAAAAAAAAAGAAAGAAAGAAAAGAGAAGAGAAGAAAAGAAAAGAGAAAAGAAAAGAAAAGATTTGTCTACATCTACGTGGAAAAGACACTGAGTTTTTGAGAGTGGTTCTCAGTGATGAAAATACCAGTAATCCTTAATGGTTCTTTTGCTTATCTGTATTTTCTGATTATTAGGTAATGTCTTCAAGTACATGCAATGCTTCTGTACTCAAAGAAAGAGAGATTGAGAGGGAGGAGAAAAGAAACAGAAAGAAAGAAACTCTAAAGGAATCTTGTGGTTCAGCAATAAGATTATTTTCCCCCCACGACCACAACTACACACAAAAAAAGTCCCGTATTGTTGGATACTTAGGTTGCTTTTATTTCTTTTTCTTTTTTTTTTAAACATCAACAGGCATAAACAATGTTGGTTGAAAAGGAAATGCAAATGCAAATGCAAAAAAAGAGGCAGAAACTGATTTTAAAAATAAATGAAAAATAGACATATATGCTTAAAGCTATATTAAGGGTTACAAAACTACCCCACAGCGCACCTGAAGCGTCCATTTAATCATTTGAGACTATTCTCGGAGAGAGGGTGGACTACAGCAGACTGGAGGTGGGGTGGCAGGTGTCAGACAAAAGGGGAATTTCCACCATCTTGAGGAGAGGGGCACTTTCTCCCTCATTCATTCCTTCACAAGCATTTACCGAGGCCTGACAGCCTGTAGGCGCTGGAGATACGGTGACTAAAGCAGACCAGCTCACTACCGTCCTGGCACATCCATTCTAGGGGAGCGGGGAGCTTGAGGAGGTTTTGTGAGCCTTCCCTGAAGGTTCCTCAGCAAAGACCCTCCCTTTGCCTGGGTTGGGGAAACGGCTGAGCTCAGGTGGGCCATGTGTTGGCTGCCTGATCACCAAGCCCCTGTGGTTCTGAGGCTGAGATGGTGCAGAGCACGTAGGTGGGGGGCCCTGGGGGACCAGGAGCAATGGTGGGAGCGCACCGGAGGCCTGAGCATCCCTGCCTTGGTGCCATCTCCTGGGCAGGCCCCTTACCTGGAATATCCTTCCCTCTGCTCCTCCAGATTCTGCCCCTTGTCCAAGCCTCCTGCTCCAAGAAGCCTTCCCTGACCGTCTTAGCTCCCCTTCTCTCATCCTGGTCCGAATACACAAATAACACTGGGAGTACCTAACGCACAAGAGCACAATCTAACACCTGGGTGCCCCGGTTAAATCACCCAAGTATGATGAGAAAGAGGACATTTGCATAGTCTCAAAGTAGCTCCTTAACAAGATAGCCACTAATTACAGAGGAAGTGGAGAAACCTGGCCCGACTCCACCTTCAGCCAACGATCAAATTAAATCTTCACAGTAATGACATAAATGACATATATCATTTGCCTCTTTTTTTTTTTTTTTGTGAGACAGAGTCTCACTCTGTTGCCTGGGCTAGAGTACCATGGTAGCCTAGCTCACAGCAACCTCAAACTCCTGGGCTTAAGCGATCCTCCTGCCTCAGCCTCCAGAGTAGCTGGGACTGCAGGCACCTGCCACCACACCTGGCTAATTTCTTGTTTCTATTTTTAGTTGCTTGGCTTATTTTTCTATTTTTAGTAGAAACGGGGGTCTCACTCTTGCTCAGCCTGGTCTCGAACTCCTGACCTCAAGCGATCCTCCCACCTCAGCCTCCCAGAGTGCTAGGATTACAGGCATGAGCCACGGCGCCCAGCTTCCTTTTTTTTTTTTTAATGAAAAAAATTTTTTTGAGACAGCATCTCTCTCGCTCTATCTGCCAGGCTCACTCTGTTGCCTCATGCTTACAGTGGGATCGAAGCTCACTGTAACCTCAGACTTCTGGGCTCAAGGGGTCCCCCTGCCTCAGCCTCTCAAGCTGGGACTACAGGTGCGGGCCACCATGCCTGGCTAATTTTTCTATTTTTTTGTAGAGATGAGGTCTCACTCTTGCTTAGGCAGGTCTCGAACTCCTGACCTCAAGTAATCCTCCTGCCTCAGCCGGTATATGGGAATTCTTTGTACTATTTTGGTAAGTCTGAAATTATTTCAAAATGAAAAGTTAAAAAATAAAATTAAATAAAATCACCCTTTCCTCTCTGCCCAACACCACCTTGCACCCAAGCCTGAGTCTCGATCCTGTCTTTACTTCTTCCTACAGGGCTTATGGAAGGAGTACAGGCTCTGGCAACAGAAAGATTGGGGCTCTAATCACAGCCCCTCCCAGCTCTGTGACCTTGGACGTGTCATGGGTCTTACAGATAAGGTTCCTCATCTATAACATGGCAATGCCAC